TATGAACACTGCAGTGGAACACTGGAAATTTTCGAAAAACCCTTTCCAAGGTAGACAAGGGCGCCAGCCAGAGTGGGTGGAGACGGTGGAGTCTATCTTACTTCAGAATGTCGAGACTTGTTTTGGGTGTTCCAAATGTCAGGTTGGAGATGCATGTGAAGGAGAGGGGCTTATTCTAACCAGATCAGGGCTAGAGGCAGCCCAGGACACTGTCTCCATGGTGCACAGCCCCAGACAGTTTGGAAACAAACAGAAACCCATCCAGAGGGGGAGAATGACAAAGGCAAAAACAAACAAAGGCCAAGAGATGGAAAACTCACGAGGTGGGGCATGGTGGAGAAGAGGGGAGTGGGGAGCCAGATGGTGGGGGCTGTGGAGGGGGGTTAGGGAGGGGCCTGGTCCTGTTTTTGTGTGAGGAGCTGAATCCGGCCCCAGGGCCTAAGAATCACCATGGCAACGGGGAGGGTGAGTGCAGCTGACTCCTTGCCAACACAAACCTCCTGGGCTTAGCAGCAGGAATGGGCTCAGATGTGATGGGGCCATGTTCTAAAGAAAAATATCTGAATCAGGCTCTATAAATCACAAACTCCCCACCCCTCCCGTGGTTTTGCAGGAAATCGGCGTCTAACGAATTAATCAGAAATGACACTGAACCACATTCCCTACTCCACCTTTCATATGCACATGTATACTTACTTGAAACCCCACAGAGTAAAACCCGTTTCCTTAGTGGTAGAAACTGATAGTTAATAGGATGCTGGATACTTCCCACTCACCACTCCTCCCAAAGCTGTCCCCCTGGAATGGCATTAATGACAGAGGGCCAATGGAGCTGCTTTTCACGAGACCAAGGCAGCCAAGGCCCCATGTGGGGTGGCTCCAAATGAACCACTATCTGGTCTCCTCTGCCATTGACTGCCTGGTGAAGCTCTTGGCCCCGTGGGTGTTTGTCAGCAGGGAGACTGCTTTTCCTCCTCCTTACGGCATGCCTGCAGCATGAGCCTCTTGAGCTCCCTACTCCCAGCACCCCAAATTGGCCCTTTACGGGAGCTGCTTGGCGTATGCAATCTGCCTTAGATTTAGGGTTGGTGCTAAACAGAACTGCGAGTCTTGTTTAGGGTTTGTCCCAGGTACCCAGAAGTCTCACACTATCCCCATTACCCTAGTCCAGGGCTGACTCATCCATTAGACATAGTAGGCACAGTGCCTAAGACTCACATTGCAACAATGTTTTAATTTCTTTTAAACTCAGAAGAAAAAATAAACTTTTAAGTGGAAGAAAATGTTTTAGTGCATAATATTAACATATTTATCTTTATACCAATGCAGCCATAGAATATAATTTTAAATACTTTTTTCATGAAGGAAGAAGGAACCCACAAAGGCAAAAGTGCCCAGGGTCCATGGAAGTCATAATGTGGCCCTGCCATAGTCTTCCCTCCTGCCCCCTCGAACCCTCTAGACTCCAGGGATTTCCTTCCCCCATATCCAAATGTACCTGTCTGATGTCCCTCTACTAGGCCTGGAGCTCCTGCAGGGCAGGACCATTCTTTATTTATCCTCATGTCCCCACAATCACGTTGGGTATTGTGCTGCCATTTTCTTTTTGGCAGGGGAGAGTCTGTAGGGTGGAACAGAAAACTCAGGGAAAAAAGACACGGTCAAGTTTGAAACAAATATTGCCTAAATGAAAGAGACCCACTCCTCAGCCTGGCTCTCCAGCAGTGGGCTAATGTGACAGCCAGGTCTCAGGGCACTGAGAATTTCTGGAAACCATGCGAAAACTTCACTTCTGTGCAGGCTTTGTCCACATCCCTTACACTGAACTCTACTGACTGTTCCCGCTGAGTCTGCCAGTCATCTCCAGCTCAGTCAATCCAACAGACATTTCTCAGGTTTAATCCTGATTTCTCAGCAGCATGTGACGCTGCTCATTAGCCCTCCTTTTTGGCTTCCATGACAGTTTGCTATCTTGGTTTTCTCCTATTTCTGACACTCCTGCTCTGCCTCCTTTGCAGGTGCTGTGCTCTGCTGGGCCACTGAAAACAAGTAATAATGTAATAGCAGCAGCTTACACATGTCAGCATCTACCTTGCACTGGGCAATATTGTAAGTATCAGCTCTTTTAATCCTCAAAATAATCCTAAATCCATTCTCCAACCACCAGCCAGAGTGATTTTTCTGAAAACTAAATTTCAGGTTTCCCTAAAACCTTCCAATAGCTCTCCCCTACCCACAGCTTTTAAGGTCTTTCAAGATCTGGCCCTGCCCACCTTTCCAGCCTGATTCCTCACTAGCACCTCTTCCTTTCCATCCTGCTTTTAGTTCCTCCGAGAACTCTAGGTCGTTACATGTGCTGTTCCCACCAAAACACTTTTCCTCTATCTCTTAGCTTAAAACCAGTTCCTCCAGAGGGGAGAGGGCTGGTTATGAGATTGACACCAAAACCAGCCTGCCGGGTTTAACTCCCAGCCCTGCCACTTCCTGGCCATATAACCTTGGGCAAACTATTAACATCATCTAATTCTGACTCCACTCCCGAAACATCTGTCTGTCTGCCCACCTTGCCAGACCATCAGCTCTGTGAGGGCAGGGGCATTTTGACTTTGATCCTGCTCACAGTCCTAGTGCCTGGCACACAGTAGGTGCTCACATTTATTAAACCAGTGACTGGAAATGCAAAACCTATCCTGGTGATACATGCTCTCCCGCAAACGGCCACCTCAAACAAGGAAGGAAAGGGAGGATAAGATTTCTAACGACGTGGCACACACAGGAGACTCAGGCAGAAAGCAGTCACAAAGGTGACCTGGTAATTAGGAAAATATCTTTATTATTTTTTCAGTGTTCCAATATTCAATGTATAAACCGTGATAGTAGCTTCTCACAACTTTACAAATTATAGAAAAATGATTTTTTTCCCCTTCTTTACGGAAATCTCACCCCCAAATCATACAGGGCTCCATCATGGTTGAAACCCAGCAGGAAGAAAGCGGAGAATACAAGGAGGGCCGCGGCCGTCCGCGTGGCCAGAGGGTTTTCCTACATGTTACAGCCCAGGATGAGTCCCAGAGACCTGTAACCCCTCTGAAGGAGGCTCCACCGTACAGCTCTGTGGCACACTGAGGCAGGCCTCTGTCGCAAAAGGCCAGCAGACCACCAAAGGCCTGCATGGTGGCACTCATGGCTGGCAGGCTGCAGTCAAGGCAGCTTCGTGAGAATGTGAACAGGAGGCGAGCCGACTGCCCAAATCCCTTTCTCTAAAACACAGCCAGGAAAGAGGCTGTGGACACTGGCCAAATAGTGCTCTAGGTTTAGAAATTTCCCCTTTTACTCAGCTCACAAAGACTAATTTGTCAAACAGCTATTAAAAAAAAAAAAAAAATCAGAAAACAAACATTTGGCTCCATTTCAGCTATAATCAGTAGTTGGTAATTTTTAGCAAAAGATGACTTGAGTTGCTCATTATTAAGTCTGTATGTTTTATGAGGCCCCTGACTCCTTTCTTATCCATGGTTTATCAGAGAATGGGGGGGACGGGGGGTGGGGGGAGGTACAGCTGTAGCAGGAGGCTGTTTGTTGATTTGAGAAAACTGTTAAAATGTTTTGCACTCACGTACAAAGGCTGATGGAATTCAAAAATGATCCCAATGATTTTTATGAGAAACACGACTGTTCCTCTTGGGTGTCTCAAGTCAAAACAAGGAAACCGCCTAGTAATTTATAGTCCCCACATTTTCCGCCTTCCAGAAGGCATTAGAGAAAGAGCCAACCTCCGCCAGGAGCGATTGTAAACACACCACTGACGGCTTGGACACTTTGTTTTTAAATGCAGCAGGACTTTTTCCTTTGGCCCTGGCTGAAAAGCCAACTCCCTAAGACTGGTTAGGAAGGGGCAGATGGGAGGGCTCCCCCTCAACCAAAGAGTGAGGGACCCGTGGTCCCTGTGGACTAGAGTGTGGCTGGGAGCATCGTCAAAGGCAATCAATACATTTATGGCATACGAAATTGACCTGTGGTCCCCCAACTGGCCCCAGGCTCCACCTGGCTGGACGTGAGGCACAGGAGGTACAGAACAAGTCATCATAAGGCACACAATTGAGGCGGCTCCCACACCAGGCCCAGAAAGATTATCTCTTCGCACGATTCCAGAAGTGTTGGAACGCAGAGGAGTTGATGACACTCACTATGAGCAGCAGCAGCAGATACAGGGATATCATGACCGTAAACCAATGGCTGGAAAACCAGGAGAGCTGGCTTGAAGCCCTGCTTAAGAGGGAAAAAAGAGTGATGTTGGCAAAAATAGAAAAACATTTTTTTTCAAGTGTATGCAACAAGTCTGGCTCAGAGAAGACGAAATGATGAATTCCATCCTCCGCGTGAGCCATGAAATGAAGCTTCGTGCTCCTTTGCTCAAGAAATCTGGGGCTGTCTGCCCTGGCACTGACACGTCTTTCAACAGAACATTTTCTAACCGCACAAAGACAGCTATGCAATGAGCTCATCCCAATCTCCCCCTCTCCGGCTCCTCTCTTACCTTTTATAACCCGTCTTTTCTTAAGCAAGACTTTGGTATCTAGAAGAGTAATCTAGCTCAGGGTGTCTGCCCAGATGGTGGCAGGTGGCAGGTTATTCAACAAAGGTCTTTTCACTTTTAGACACGTACAGATATAAATCCAAGCTGGGGAAATCCTCTTTGGCCCACTAGGAGACAATCCAAACCATCCAAGTGTCCTCTTAAAGAGACACTCCAGGGAGGAGTGGGAAAGGAATAGAATGTTCAAGCATAAAAAGATGATTTTAAACCAAAGGATAACGTCCCCTACAACCCTATTTAGACTTCTCAAATTTTGGCGGGCAGCAGAGGTGGTGGGGCGTGGATTTTACTGGTTTACCAAATCTGGAAGTGTGGAAACCACTGGCGTGTAAAAGTAGGAGTGGAGATTATTAACAGTGACCCCTTTTCCTGTCGTACCTGCTCACCTGCTGCTGATCCCCACAAGAAGCTCCACGTGGATTCCAACAACGCAACAAAATCTCGGGGTGACCCCGAACCCTGGAGAAGGCTGCATATACGCTCACTACCATGCCGCTGAGATGGGACCAGGCACCACCATGGCTGAAGGCCCTTATCTGCTGTTGTGTTCAACATGCTCGTTTTAGAGAGAAAGATGAAGGATCTCAGGTCCAGAGAGGAGCGGGCGGTGGTTGCACAGCCACCAGGGGAGTGACTGAGCTGGCTGCACACAATCCCAGCAGTGTCCAATCACTCACCCCATCTGTGGGTTCAGACTGCGGTCCCAGGCCTAGTGGCTAAGGGGGCCACACTGTCTGGGGCAGCCAATTTGGCTTTAGTCAGTCCCTCATGCTATTTGTGTTTACAAATCTATCTCGTCACTAGAATATACAGTCTTCTTAGCGTGAGGACCACATCTTCTCCGACTCCTACTCCTCCCCTTGCCACGTGCAGCACGGTGCTCTGTATACACTGTACGTAGTGGAAAGCTACGGCTGGGGGTGGGGAGGCGGATGACTATGACAACTAAGTGGCCCAGCAGGCGCAGCACAGCCTTTGGTTGTTCTCCTGGACCCCACGCAGGGACCATCCTCCTTACCTCTTGGGCTGCTTCTGTGAATACACCAGCAGGTACTTCACTCGCAGCAGCTGGTTATTGGTGACCACAAAGTACTTCGGAGGGATGTCCCCGCCTTCGCTATGTTTGATTCTTGCTCTTCTGCGGTCTATCTCCTTGGAATCTGAAAGAGGAGAGTAAGGCGCACCTTTACTGGGAGGATACGATGACCAAAGCAGCAAATTATAAACAGAAATGAGTCAAGCCTCCTGCTGAGGGTGGAGAAGCCCCGGCAGGCTGAGGAACGGGCCTGTGTGTGTATGTGAAGCAGTTTGAGGAAAACAGGAGAACCTTGCAGGTAGGCAGGCAGGAGAAGGGAAAAGGAAGAGGAGAATACAAGGGATACAAGGAAGGAAAAACAAAACAAAACTCAACTGAGTGGGGAGAGCAGAGGGAAAAAAGAAACTGACGGTGGTAACAAAAAGTGCTCTGGGGCTGGGAACAGGAGCAAGTCTCCTAGTAGGTGTTTTAAACACACCCTGCTGGATGTGAGCTTCTTTGAACATTTACCTTCCAGGCTTGTTTACAAAACAACAAAACCCCTTTTCTTTTAATAACATGAAAAAATTCTACCAAAACAAAACAAAACCAAAAAAAAAAAAAGGCCAACAGTGCATGACAGCAGAGGCTGCGAGGTTTTGTTTTGATGTTTAATGTCAGGCTTTACAAAATTCCTAAAAATTATAAATGCAAATATTCATGCCATCTGGTTTGGGAGGGTGGTGTCAGGCTTGGACTTGTTTCTCCAGTTGTTTTACATTAGAGGCCAGAACAGTCAGTTTCCTGAATTTTCCTTTTCTCAGGGGAACCAACAGGTCAGTTCTGGAGACTAGAATGACAGTTCTGTGTTCTCTACTGCCTTTGAGGGGGGCAGCACAGCGGGGGCACACGGCAAATAGTCTCAGGGACACATTAGAGCTATGGCATGAGATGCAGCTAGTCGTGACTCTCTGGAGGGCCCAGGATTTACTCAGGATTTACTCCCCATGGCCCCAGCTTCCCCTCCGTGGGCTCCGGCAGGCCCAAGTAGATCAGAGGGTCTGGATCCAGCGTCCTTAGCTTCAGTTTAGCAAATATTTATTGAATGTCAAGTATGGACCAGGCTCTCTGCTGACACCAGACACCCAGGAATGAATGAGGCCTCATTCCTACCCTCAAGGAGCCCACGCTCTGGCCTCACCATTCGTTTTCTTTGGGTTTTTTTAAAAATCAAATCTCACCTCCCTGCAAAGCCTTCCCTGACCACTTGGACCCACCAAGATGGCTCCTTGCCCTGAGCTGCCCATGAGGACCTTGTCAGTCCCTCACCAGGCACCCGCTACCTACCACCTTGTGGTAAGTGATCGTTTCCATTGCGTGTTCAATCCCTAAGAAGACTGCGCACCTTGAAGGCAGGCCCCGGTCCTGCATTGCTCTGCATTACCCAGCCCATGCCCTGGCATGCAGTGGGTGCTCCACCCAACAGCTGGGCCAGCAAAAGCCTGTACATCCAATAGAGTCCTGAAGCCCAGGTCTGGGCCAACCGCTCACTCACCCTTCTTCTTGGTTTGGCACTTGACATCTGGATGGTCAATGACCTCGCACACGGCCACACAGCTGAGGATAGGGCCGAGGAGGCTATGCTGCCACCCGTGGCCATGGGGGCTGTAAATGAGGGCCAGGCTCAAGTCACTGGTGAGGTAGGTCCCCTCTCCAAACAAGGATGTCTGCAATGGCAAAGGCCAACAGAAAACAAACACAGATGGGTGAACATAGAGTTGGAGCAAGACGACACAGGTTTTTCTTCAACAGAGTTGTGAACACCAAATTTTCGAGCCCCCTTTTTTCCCAGCAAGACACAGGATCAAATAATCCTGTGACATCATCATAGGATTGTTACCCTCTGACAAGGGTTTAATTGTTGATTTGGCCATTTAGCCTGGCAAAGTAGCAGTTCCTTGCGGTCAAGATTAAGTGAGAAAAACATAGGTGTAAGAGCCCAGAAAGACCTCGGTTTGAATCCTGCAACGAGTTGGCAAGTTATATAAACTCTCTGTGTCTCAGTTTCTGTATCTACAAAACAGTGTCAGTGGTACCTCCTTCATAAGGTCGTGGGTGAGGATTAAATGAGGTAATATAAATAAAACGTAGAGCAGGACACGTGGCACGTGAGAGGATAAATAACGGTGGGTACTCCAACACAGGCTCTTACGTTGCACTGTATATAGTAATTCCTGCTACGTGACTGCCTTAAGCACTGTTACACTGATGAGCTTATAAAAGCAAAATCACGCCCTCATGTACAGGGAGGGGTTCGCACCTGAGGGTGGAAGGACTCCGAGTCATTACTTTGAAAAGAAATGAGTCTCTCGGACCAGAAACTGTAACCAAATGAGGGGGCCTGCATGAAGGGCAGGGTACTCTTTGTATTGGTGTTGACCAAGAAAATGTCTAAATATCTGGGAGGCATCTCCCTGGCGGTGGGTGCTAACTCGGTATGCTCCGTAAGGAAACATGCCAGGTGCAGTACCTGCAAGTCGAGGCTACAGCAGACATGGCAAACATATCCTTTACCCATGGTAGACATCACTAATCAACCACAATGGCCAACATAATAATATCTATCATGGTGCTTACTCCTAATGACTCAAGAATCCTTCTCAACATAATGTTCCAGCTGCTACCAGCAGATGGACTTTGACATTCAAGTTGAAACTCAACTGCTATTCCTGGGCCATGCTATCAGGATCTCAAGATGAGTGAACTTGAATAGCTCACTGAAGAACACCCTATGCTCTGGAACTGAGAAATGTCCTATTCAGTGGCACCAGGCTTCTACAATTTTAAGCCTGTTATGTGAAGCTTAGGGGAAATGAAACACACCTTTGCTTGGCCTTTGGGAAGCTCCTTGCTAAGTGAGGCAGTGTCCCCATCTCTCAAAAGTTGATACAGACTTTCTCCAAGGATGCTGGATGCCCTCTTCTGACCCCTCATCCACTCTCCACTTGGCCTGCCACGTGTTCACCCTTCCCTAGACGTGAGAATCTCTCGCAAGGCTGCCGTGAGCAGAGTGGGAAGCTTGGGGTCTCTCCATCCTGAAAAGAATCTCACAGCTCCAACTGGAAGGTGGGCTCCCTCAAGCAAGCCCTTCACCGAAAACCCAGGCCTCTAAGTAGCAAACTCCGTGGGGCACTGAAATGAAGGTTTGGTGTACAAGAGTATCATCTGCAAGCAACTTCTCCAGGCTGGCTCTGGTGTAAAGCAGAGGCCCCCTGGGTTCCAGTAGCCTGGCCATAATAGTAAGCTGAGGGCCAGTATGAACTGAGTGCCAGTGTAAACAAGCCCATCATTTTCAGCAAAACTCAACAGCACTAATCAGATACAGCAAGGTTGGGGAATGTTTCCAGCGTCAGAACTACAGCAGCCACAACTGAGCCCACAGCCCATGGAGCCGGCCCCTCACAAGCAAGGCAGATGCTGCCACGATGCGGGAAAGGCCTGCAGCTCCGCTGCTACCCCGGATGACCTCTCCAGCAGCCTGTGAAAGCAGCTACTGCTTTCTTGGTACTCTGTACATGGAGAATCCTTTGTATACATGAACTGTTTCAATCCTCTCACATATCAGAAGGAGGGAATGGAGGCCTATTTTACAGATGGGGAAACTGAGACTCAGAGAGTTTAATTTGCCCAGGGCCATAGGGCTGCTAAGTCTTTTTAGCTCCAGGGCCTGTCTGAAATCTTCCTCCTACACCTCGCTGAGGGGTAAAGAAAGTGCCAGCAGAGAAGGGGTGGTGGGCGCTGTTTTAACTCCTAAACATGGGAGGAAAGAAGCTCAAGGAGGGAGGGAAAGGACCTCCCCTTGGTGCATCTTGGCACATCCCTCGATTTCTCCAGTATCTGCCTCTCCTGGAGCATCCCCTAAGGAAGTGCTTCTCAAACTTCAGTGTGCACATGAATCACCTGAGGACCTTGTTAAATGGTGTTTGGGGATCAGGTGGTCTGGGGCTGGCCGGAGAGTCCCCAATTCCAACACTCCCAGGTGATGCGGATGCTGCTGGCCCAGGGAACACACTGAGTAGCGAGGGTTGGCCACACGCTGGGATCGCCTGGAGAGCTTTCAAAGCAACTGATATCCGGGCCCCACTCACAGAGATTCTGATTTACTTGGTCTGGGATGCAGCCAGGCATTTGGGATTTTTTTAAAGTTCCCCAAGTGATTCTAAATGTGCAGCCAAAGTTGGGAACCATCCTTAAATCGATGCTTCTCGAACTATAATCAGCATAAGAATCACCTGGAGAGCGTGTTAAAATGCAGGTTCTGATTCAGGTCTAGGGCGGTGCCAAGAGTCTGCATTTTCACAGGCTCCCAGGTGATGCTGTTCCGCTGGCGTGCAGACCACACTGGGTGCAGCAAGGCCTTGGTGAACCTACACCCCCACTCCCCCCAGCCAGCTCCTCAGCGTTCTGGATCCCCCACCCCGCGCCTGCTCCCCTGAGGCCCCACCTTGTTCAGGTGGCAGTGCAGGCCGTTGTGGATGATGGAATGGAAGTTTTCTAGGCGGCTACCATGGAAGGCATAGATAAGGTCTCGTTCTCCTTTGGTCTCATAAAATTTGGCATTGGCTGGGTCGAAGTACTCGATTTCAAACAGGAAGTCCGGAGCAGGAACAGGCGTGTGAGGGGCACCAGTCAGCTTTTGGATCTTTTCAAACTTGAAAATGAAGGGAACCGCAATTTTATTTGGGAAGCTGGTAAGAGGTGCTGCAAAAGTGGCCTCCTAAAACCTTGGGATCGACTCCCACGGGCTCTGCTCATGAGAATAACAAGTTTCATGAGGATAGAGACATTAATTTATAAGCAAACTCAGAACTTACAGCTCAAGACTGCTTTCCTCTAATAACATTTCTCCCTGCAGTAAATAAATAGCTCCTTCTACACTTCTAATTTTCTAACAGTTTCACGTCTATTTCCTGCATTCCACCTTTACAATAATCTCATGAAATAGAAAGGTAGGATAAATTGCAAAAATAGCCACAAATTTTCCCTCCCATCAGTGTCCATACACCTCTCTGCAATATAAGTTTGCAGGTGGGATTCTACCAAGATGCCATCAAGAGATGGGACCTATTTCTCCACCCCTTGAATATGCACTTGGCCACGTGACTTGCTTTGGCCAATGGAACAGTAGCATATGTATGGCAAACAGACTTGAAAAGGGTTTGCCCTTCCTTGTTTGCTGCTGAGAACCCTTCACCCTTGTCCTGGGCTGGCCCCCATAGGACGAGAGCCCCACAGAGAAAGGCCTCAGCCGTGGCGGCCACCCCAGCTAAAGGCCCAGAAAAGTGAGGCTACACTAGCTTATCTAGCCCCAGCCACTCCACAGAATCATGAGGAGCAATCAACATTTGTCATTTTAAGCCACTAAATTTTAGGGGTGGTCTGTTACATAGCAGAAGCTAATTGATACAGAAAGTAAACTTCTTTCTCAAGGACGATAATCCTTTTCAGGGCAGAGACCGCATCATTTCAGTGGTTTTTCAAACAGTAGGTGATATGGTTTGGATATCTGTCCCCTCTAAATCTCATGTTGAAATTTGATCTCCAATGTTGGAGGTGGGGCCTGGTGGGAGGTGTCTGGGTCGTGGGGGCAGATCCCTCATGAATGGGCTGGTGCCCTTCCCCCAATAATGAGTGAGTTCTCACTCTTAGTTAATAGCGAGAGCTGGTTGGTTAAAAGAGCCAGACACCCCTCCCTCCTCTCTCTTGCTCCCCCGTTGCCACGTGACATACCTACTCTGCCTTCACCTTCCACCATGAGTGGAGACATACTTCCTGTACAGCCTGCAGAACCATGAGCCCAAATAAACCTCTTTTCTTTATAAATTACCCAGCCTTGGGCACTGCTTTACAGCAACACAAGATAAACAAAGGCAGTAGATCACAGACCAAAGCCAGCCTGTGGCAGTCTTCTCTGGATTAGGATTGAATGAGAAAAATAAGAGCAATGTAACAGATATATTTATATTCATAGATGGTTGTCAC